CACCAGGTTCCAGGATACGGCACAGACTTTGCTACTGGAAGCTGAAGGACCAGCATGAGGTCCTCAAGCGACTGATAGAAGCTCCAGAGCCAGATATTTGTAGAAAATACAAATCAGACCTAAAAAACCAAAGTCTTCATGGACTTGAGGAGTTCTGTGGGTTCTCTGGTGGGTTCCCAGTCATTTCAAAAACCCTGACAAACATTAAGGTAACACCAGAGAGCAGGAGATGTGCTGAACACGTCAGCTGCACAAGTGTTTACCTGCGTGGCGATGAAGTAATGCTGCGGGTTGGTTTCCTGCAACATGGACAGAAGACAGTCGGAGGCACAAACAGGATCCTTCAGATGAGGACACTTCCGGACCTGAAACCTCTGGAGGATCAGTTTGGCTCCGTACAGCTGCTTCCCCAGAAGCTCCAGCTCCTTCAGAGCACAGCTGCCAGGAAACAGGAAACAGGAGATGTTAGCGGGTGCAGCCAGCAAACCTGTGACCTGTAAACCAGTAAACTCACCTGGTGGTGCACAGCTGAACTTCCCCCATCAGGTATTTAGGAAGCTGTTCTTTAATCTGGATTTTGTTCTTCAGCGCCGCCTGACAGAAAGTTCCGTCGATGAGGATCTGAAAAGGTTCTCTGAAGCTGAAGTTGTATTTGTAGAAGCTGATGGTTTTCTTTGCCTGTTTCTGCCGCTTGATCTTCATCTTTAGCAGTTAGCAGTTAGCATCTCCCCGCAAACCGTTTAAATGTAAAGAGCTTCGGTTAGCAGCTAGCTGTTAGCATCTCACCGCAAACCGTTTAAATGTAAAGAGCTTCGGTTAGCAGCTAGCTGTTAGCATCTCCCCGTGACACTAGCTGAGTTAAAGAAGCTTCAGGGTTCAACGTTCAGAGAACTTCTCTCCTCTCAGCGTGGAGCTGCTGGTTCACAACACGCTGACGGTCCGACCGTCTCAGGAGTCCGGGTGGAAACAAAAGTGACGGCAGTAGATCCGGATCTTCTCATGTGGCTTCCTCCCTGTAACAATAATACTATTAATAATAATAAAAGTAGTAATAATAATAACACTAATCACAATGATAACGGCAATACAATATTATGTTGGATATTTCATCTATGTTTTTGAAATTTTTTTACCATATTTTTTTTTCAATATCTATTTTAGGACATTGTTTTATTCTTTCTCCAATTTGAATAATATTTTGAACAGTTTATTCATATTTTCCAACATTTTAAATATATTAATGGACTTTTTTTTTTACATAACTTTTCACATTTTATTCATATTTTTTAGGACATATGAACATTTACGGATGTCTTATTTATAATTTCTACCATTTTATAAAAACTTTCAAATGTTCTATTCATATTTTTTTGCTTATCTTATATTTCAGATTTCTCCTGTATTAGTTTCTCTTCATTGGCTGCCTGTAAAATCCAGAATTTAAAATGAACAGGGCTGTCGTCCCCGATGCAGCCGTCGGGGTTCGACTCCTGCAGGTCGTCCCCCTCTTCTCTCTCACTCTCCCACTATTCTGAATAATGAAGGCAAAAAGGCCAGAAAACAAATAAATCCTGCTTCTAACATATAAACTCTCCATGAGCAGCTCCATGTGACCTTACAGACCTCATGGTACCCTATCATCCTAACAGAACCCTTTGCTCTCAGACTGCAGGTCTACTGGTGGGTCCAGAGTCTCCAGAACCAGAATGGGAGGCAGAGCCTTCAGCTATCAGCTCCTCTGTTGTGGACCAGCTCCCAGTCTGGGTTCTGGAGGCAGACACCCTCTGTGCTTTAAGGTCAGGATGAAAACGTTCCTCTGTGATGAAGCTGATAGTTAGAGCTGCTCAGGATCACCTGGACTGTCCCTCAGTGATGCTGCTGTAGCTTCAGACTGCCGGGGGACTCCCATGATGCACTGGGCTCCTCTTCAGTTGGTGATTAATTTAATAGTTGATAACTATTAATTAATATTTGCAGCTTTAATGTGGGTGAATCTGGTTTTGGTTTTGAGACAAGGAATTCTGAAGACAACCATGAAATCAGCTTTCAAGCTGTTCAGACAGAAGGTGAAACAGTCTTTGATTTGTTGCTGGAGCTCAGAGAGAAAATGTTCTTGAAGAATGTGGTTCTTTATTAAGTCCCCTGCTGAGGTGTCCCTCAGAGGGTCCAGGGCCTCAGGTTGGGAAACACTGCAGGACCTTTGAAGAACTGTACCGTTGCTATCACAGCAGTGAGGACTGTGTTGGAGAACACAGAACGTAGGACAGCTGAGGAGTCAACACACCGAAGGTGAACCTTTAATCTTTAGTGCAGTTTACAGACTCAAAGAAAATCTAAACACCAAACATGTGAATCATGCAGAAAAACAGCTACAACAGCAAGAACACAAGAAGAACCAGAGTCATATTAATAATAAATATACAGTCACACTCACACAGGAGGCCCAGTACCAAAACTGTAACAAAGAGCGGGATGGCTTCAGTCTGAGGAACCGGGGGAACAAAATAACACCGTGTATAATCCAGAACCAAACCTCTGATTCTAACAGGAACCCTCCTGATTCCTCCGTGGTTATTCTTTAATCTCATGAACGTTCTCCTAAGCACCTCCACTTTGAACAACTCAAGACCCTTTAAATACATAAAAACTCTGTAAATGTTCAGACACATGTGGAACGTCTCAGTTCTTGTAGGACCATCAGATTAGAACCCTTTCAGTAACAGATCAGTGGAGGAAACAGAGGAAGCAACAGCATCTCCAACGTCCCCAACACCAGGAGGAACCGAACAGGAACCTTCAGCAGCCATTTTAACATTTAATATCAGAGTCTGACTCAGGAAGTAAAACCTCAGATGTCAGCAGTCGTAGTTCCAGTTTTTATTCCAGATCTCTAGAACGTCATTCTGACCACTTAAACCCGTCAGAGCTTTCTGGGATCCAGTTTGAACTGGTCAGAGTAACAACTGCAGAGATCTCAAACCTCACTGGTCTGAATTGTTGAGATGATGCTGCTCATGAAGGCTTCCCATTGGCTGCTGGTCCAGCAGAGCACCAGAGCCGTCAGCAGCAGTGATGGAGGCTCTGCAGAAGTTCAGTTTCTCTGAAGTCTTTTCACCGAGTCAGAACTCTGGTTCAACATGTCTGTAATTGTGGTCTAACTGGTTGTAATTCCAGTTACACCATTCTGACCAGATCGAACTTAAGAACCTAAAAAGAACGACGCAGATCTGTTGAACTGAATTAAAGAAATCTCGAACTAGAATGATGATGAGTCAGAATTAAACTGTGGACGTCTGAAGCCGGAATTACAACCAATCTGAGTTGAGCTGCAGATATTCGGTGTGAGTATCCGTAATGAGGAAGAATGACGATGTCAGGATCTGAGATGTTCTGTTGGACTGAGTGACTATCTGCAGCTCAGATCCAGTCTGGATGTTGACTGTTAAAATGGCTTCCATGGGGGTCACATGACCTGGGAGGTAGCCCAGGTAACACTAGCACCGGTCCGCTAACACTGCCGTCTGTGGATCAGCTCATGGTTTGGTTCAAAATTAAAAACTATAAAACAATTAGTTGTGCTTCATTCTCATCATCAAAACAGGAAAACAGGAGATCAACACACCGACTGGTTTATCTCAACGTATTCAGGTTTTCAGGTTCACATACTGCAGTGCGGTGTAACATTAAATTCAGTAGCAGGAGAACCTGATGACCACACTGTGCAGAACCCTTAGGAACCCGAGCTATGCTAGGCTACCAAAAACTAGCCTGCTAGCTGCTAGCTCTGGCTACCTCCACTGGTCACATGACCCACGTCATCTTTTCTTTCGACAGACTCCATAATTATCGCTGGAAATGGGGGTCAGTTTAAATCGTTGCACCTGAACAGGAGTCCAACACGTTCCCCGAGAAGGTTCCTGATCGGATCAGAGTTCATGTTTTCAGGGAACCATCAATCTGTTCCGTCAGGACTCCGTTTACAGTTGTACCGACAAGCAGGAGGGGAGCACTTTGACGGACGGACCAAGGGGGCAGCAGGAGAGTTTTCATGGTCGTACCGATGACAATCAGATCTGTGACATCACTCCCCTCAGTTTCCGATTGGTCCTTTTATATCTGACATCACTGAGAGCTAACCTTTAATCCAGCTAACATGCTAACCCATGCTAACAGGTGACTAGCTGTAGTCCAGTGTGAGGTGTTAGCATGATGGCTTGCTGTCTGAAGTTTTAGCTTATCAGTTATCATAGCAGCCTACCAGATAAGACTGTTAGCATAGCAACATGTTAGAAGCTGTAGGTATAAGGTCAGGGTAGTAATAACCGGGTAGTTAGGATGTTAACAAGCTGTAGGTGACGTGTTAGCCTGGCAGTTAGCATGTTAGCCAGCTAAAGATGAAGTGCATGCAGTGTTAGCCAGTCAGTCATGTTACCCAGGTGTAGGTGAAGTGTATCAAGTATTAGCCTGAGTGTTAGCATGTTAACCAGCCGTAGGTGAAGTCTATGAGGTGTTAGCAAGCTGTACGTGAAGAGAATAAAGTATTACCTGTAATAAGCATGTTGGTCAGCTGTGAGTAAAGCATAATAGGTGTTAGCCTGTCTTTTAGCATGTTAACCAACAGAAAATGAAGTGTATAAATCACTAGCTTGTCAGTTAGCATAATAAACAGCTGTAGGTGAAGTGCATGGAGTGTTAGCCTATCAGTTAACATATTAGCCAACTGCAGGTGACGTGTATAGAGTGTTAGCCTGTCAGTTAGCATGTTAGCCTGGCAGGTTAGCTTGTTAGCACAGCAGCAGCAGCTCGTCATCGCTGCTCTCCGTCTTGCCCGTGGCCTCCAGACAGGCATCGGGGATCTGAGCCGTGTGGACCATCCTGCAGTGTTCACACGGGCCGTCCCGCCCTCCTCGACTGCTGTTTCCACGGTGATGGCGGGGGGCGTGGCCTGCAGTGGAGCAAGGGTGTGGCTCCAGCAGAGGCTGGCGGATGTCGCTGACCACTGAAGAGGAGGAGGACGTGTCGGAGTCGGAGACGGGGATCAGTAGCTCCACGTCTTCTTCTTCTTCTCTGCTTCCTCGTCGCTCAGCAGCCTCGGCCCCGCCCCTTCCTGTCTCCAGCTGGCGCAGCGGGCTGTGATTGGTCCAAGGCTGCTGGTTTGGACTGCTTCTGGTCAGGTTTCGGGCCAGGCGGTGCAGGTTCTGGGCCAGGCGTTGCAGGGCAGAGGCGGCAGGCGCCTGCAGCTCTGGGGTGTCGCCGTTACATTCGGGATCGGGATTGGACGTTACCACGGTGACGGGGCTGGAGGGGGGTGGGGCCTCTCGGGGCCTGTCGCGGCTTCGGTCTCGGCCGGGTGTCGGGGTCACAGAGGTCGCAGACGCCGCAGACGCCGTCACCGACACAACGGCCTCCACAGCAGAGGGAGGCGGAGTCTTCTGTGGGAGGGGGGCAACGGGCCCGCCCACCGCGCCCACGCCGCGCTCCCTCCCCCGCTCGCCCTCTGTGTCCGTGTCGTCCGAGTCTGGAGACAGCAGGTCTGAACCAGAACTCCCGGTGCTGCCGGTACCGGTGCTGTCCTCAAGGTCGGCCGAGACCAGAGCCAACGAACCCGACCGCCGCGAACGTGAGAAGGTGAAGAGGCGACGCCACAGGTTGCTGTGACGACCAGAGGAAGGCAACCGGAGGGAGGTGAAGCCGAGCTGAGAGCGAACGGCCAGACGGAGGTTCTCCAGAACTGACGCCTGGTCAGAGACACAAACACAAACCATCAGAACCAGCAGTAGTTGTGACAACAAGGTATTTTATAAAGAGCTGCTGTCGCTGGTTCCTCAGAAAACATGAAGAACCACAAGTAATCAGATGAACATACCTGGCTCCCAGAGCACACTGGGAAATCCTCCACAGGTGGGATCAGGCCCTGTGCGATCAGCTGACCATACGAAGGCGGGGCTTCCCTCCTCAGTAGCTCCGCCTCCACTCTGGACAGCTGGGTCTCAAACGACCTGCAACAACCACACAGACCGATCAGAGAGGCAGCGACCAGAGGCCGTGAAGGTGACGAGTCGAGGCCCGGCTGTGCTCACCTGCGTTCAAACATGCGCAGTGAATAGAGTTTGCAGGTGCAGCCGAGGGCGATGACCAATAGCAGGCCGCAGATGAGGCTGCCGATGACGGCGGCCGTGATGACCCTGGTGGGGACGATGACGGGGCAGCTCTCCTCGTCGCTGCCGTCGCCGCAGTCGTCCTGCGCGTCACAAACCCACGACTCGAACACACAGCGGTTATTCTGCAGAGGGTTTAATTTAGCACAGCAACAAACTGTAAAACCAGAAAGAATCTTTGGATTTCCAACTTCCTGACTGTCCTTGAACTAATCGTGCTATTGTCCATTAAAAAAAACAACCAAAAATGAGCATAAAATTTCCACAAAAGTCATTTTATTCTGTTTCTCTTTTTTAAATTTGTAAAAATAATAAACTGCACTGACGACTTTCTGTATGCATGTGGGACGCTCCTGACTGCTCCAATGTTTTCCTCAGGAACATTTAAGTGTTGAAGCAGAGTGAAACTGTTTCTCCATACAGTGTTAGAACATGTTAAAGGTTCTGTCTGGTTCCGTTCGGTCGGCCACACAGCTCTATTCCTGCTCTGTGTTCTGGTACCTTGCAGTGGAAGTTCCCTGGCTGACAGAAGAAGCAGTTCTTCTCGTCAGAACCATTGGGGCAGCGGTTCTGGTAGTTGCAGCGGTCCGATCGAGGATAACAAGCTCCGTTTCTGGAACAGGGGAACTCGTCCTCCTGACAGGACGAACAGTTGAGCTCGTCCCGGCCGTTCGGACAGTGCCAGTACCCGTCACAGCGCTGCTGCTCGGTGTAGCAGCCCCAGTTCCCCCCACACGGAACCTCCCAGGGCAGGCAGAACCCGTCCACCTACAAACACAGAACCACAACACAGGTTAGAACTCAGTGAGGCTGCTGACCACCAAGTTGGATGAAGAACTATAAAAACAGGCTGAACAGAACCCGTCCACCGTCAGAACACAGAACCACAGACTGCGGTAGAACCTGTCCAACCAGACGTACCTGGTAGGTGACATTGAAACCTCTGGCGGCGTTGATCTTGTCGGCGTAGAAGTGAACTCGCAGCTGACCGGATGATGAAACCACGGCAACCGGCGCTCTGGAGTCAAAGGCTGTCAGCACCCGGAGGAGGCGGCGAGGGTTCTCCTCCAGACCGTCGTACACCTTCACGTAGTCGCCGTAACCCGTTCCATCCAGCTTAAAGTCCGTGAATCTGAGGATCACCTGCAGGAGGGCAAAGGAGGAGGAGTTATGGCCTTAGTCAGGTGTGAGGTCAGAGGCGTGAGGTCACAGGTCAGAGGCGTGAGGTCAGAGGTACCTTGCGGTGGTCTCCGGTGTCGATCAGCCAGGTGCAGTTGCTTCCTGGAGGGTAGAAGTCGGGGTAGTTTGGAGAACTGAAAGAACCATAGAAGTTCCTCAGCCATTCTCCACAGGTGGGAACGTCACAGTCGATCTCATCGCCGAGGTCCTGAAACAAACAAACACCAGACACTGACTTCCTGCTGCAGGAGCTCAGAAGAACCAGGTTCAGACCAGACCAGCTGAGTCTCAGTAAAGACTGGGTTCCATCATTCTAACTGAGTCCTGCTGACAGAAGTTCTGTCTCCTTCTTCAGAGTTCTGGTTCCACAGAGCTGCAGGACTTTATGTTGCAGAGAAACATGAACGACAACCTGGCTGTGCTGACCATCAGTGTGTGAACAGGTGAGCTACCTGGCAGTCGATGCTGCCGTCGCAGCGCAGGCTGTGCGGCAGGCAGGTGTAGATTCGGGTGTAGCGGGACAAACAGGGGAACTGGTTCAGGCTGCAGGGCTGGAAGGAGAACGGAGAGTCGACGCACAGCTCTTCATCCGAGTTGTCTCCACACTCGTCCATGGAGTTACAGCGCCACCAGTCAGGGATGCACTTCCCATTGGAGCAGTGGAACTGGTCCACGTCGCAGCTCGACGCCTCCGGCTTCCCTGGAAGCACAGTGCAGAGATGTAACCTCGTGAAGAAGCAGGATGTAAATCCTCCAGCACTCAGCTACAGCAACACAACAGTGTTGTAGAGCCTCACAGGGCTGCTCCATTATTTATGGCCGCAGGAGGAACAGACCCCCGTTTTCACATTGGACTGGTCCGACCTGATGGAGGTCTGACTGATTTAACATTTACTGAATGTTTACAATGTTTACAACAAACAAAACGGAACAAACACCCAACGACACAAAACAGCAGCAAAGACGCACAAACAGAGCAGAAGAGACAAAGAAGTCATCAGTGGTTCTGCATTTAGCTCAAAATGTGGAGTTTAAACTTTCTGAACAGATGTTTGTGTGTCGCAGCTCAACAACTTCACACTAACATCTGGATCTGTACAAACAGATTTATTCCTCAACAGTTCTGGTTCTGGACCACCAGCTGATATATTTTCATGAGTCGTCTGAAGTGCAGCTGCTGGTGTGTGTCCTTCTCTGAAACCTGCTCTGATTCGTGTCTCCTTCTACTCACCTGGCAGAACTGATCCTTGTAATATCGATGATGTAGCACCAAGGTTCAGCAGCTACACGAGCCTTTAGAGTGCTACAGTCACACCCGAGTGCTGGAATATTCTGACTGCTTCTGCCTCTTAAATCTTTGTCAGTTTGTGTTTGTCTGGTCAACACATATGGACGCAGTCATGACCTCCTCCACATCCGACGCCTCTATTCTCTGCTGTCCATGTGAGGAGCTCTGGGCGTCGCTGGAGGACTCACGTTTGACACTCAGAGCGTTTACTGGCTCATTTTTCTTTTCTTTTCTTTTACTCTGTGTAATATTTTCAAGGACTAATATGGTTTAATCTCCACCGCAGGTTCTGTTTAAGTGACACAAGGATGATTAAATATTTATATGTGAAATGCTGACACCATGTTAAGAAGACACACACGGGAACAAACACGGTTCAATAAGCATCGAACTACGTGTCCGACACAAAACAACACACAGAATGTCTACTGATACACTGGATTATTTCTGTACAGTGTAAATGTGATGTTGCTCTGTGTTGACATGAAGGTTACTGACAACTTTATTTCTTCACGTTTTTGTGCATCAAATGCCTCGATGATCACTTTAATGTGAATATGATCACTGAGAACATGCTGAAACCACAACAGATCTGATGATGTGATATTACTCCCTTCTGTTCTGCTGTCAGACTAGACCTTCATCATCTCTGTGTTCTCTTCAGACCACTACAGCTCCGCTACCTTGACATTACTTCTGAATGAAGCAGTGATCGTCCTGTAACACTCACTGCCAGGTACTGGTTTGTGATCGATCCACTAAACTGTTGTCGTGTGTGTCCAGAGGATTAACATCAGCCTGTAATCCGGCGTTACGTCACCGAGCACTGCTGCAAACAGCTGTTGCATAACAAGAAGAAGAAGAGACCCAGCAGCTCAGGACTGATGCTGCCACAGACAAGCACAACCACAAAATACTTATTTAACTGAAACTAACTCTAAAACTCACTGAAACGAACCAGAGCTGAGTATTTCTAAGGAGTGAAACAAAGCTAAGAGGAGCACACTTGCTGTGGAAACCTGAAAACGGACCTAAATGAGCTCCGTGACAGTGTGCGGACGGACTGACCGGTGATGTAGGACAGCCGGAAGCCTTTCCCCGTCAGGGTGTCGTCAGAGTGGAAGTGGATCCAGACGTGGTCCTGGGAGGAGATGTACGGTGGCGGCAGCGACGAGCCGCAGACCCTCAGCCCGTCCAGGCTCCTGTAGCTGCTGATGGACATCCAGTCTGAGGTGCAGCGATGGGAACCCTGCAGGTCGAAGTCCTGAAAGCTACAGCACAAAACATCGAACATCTAGTTATTCTATGAGTCAGAGGCATCTGAGCTCCAGTTACAGTGATGAACAAGAACAGTCTGAACAGGAGAACCCACAGGAACCAGCGCACATCTCACCTCACTGCAAGTTTGACCAGGAGGTTCTAACTTCACCGCAGTCCTGGATGCTGACGGACATTTTAGTTTGTAACAGATGTGAGAATGTAGAAGGTGAATGAGGAAGAGGTTTGTGATTTTCAAACTGTGTCTTTTGCTCTCTGTGATGTTTTTAGACCAATATTGGAGCTAAAAAGTCCTCAAATGCTTCCAAACCATGCCCGCGACCAGTTCTGATTGAGGCACATGAGGTAGAACTTGTAGAGAACTACGAGTACCTTGGGCTGTGGCTGGACAACAAGCTGGACTGGACATGCAACACAGACGACCTGTACAAGAGGGGACAGAGCAGGCTGGACTTCCTGAGGAGGCTCCGGTCGTTCAACATCTGCAGGAGTTTCCTGCAGATGTTCTACCAGTCGTTGGTTGCCAGCGTCCTTTTTCACGCCGTGGTGTGCTGGGGCAGCAGAACATCAAAGAGGGACGCATCGAGGCTGGACAAATGAATCAGGCGGGCCAGCTCTACAGTGGGCATGAAGCTGGACTCCCTGGTGACAGTGGCAGAGAGGAGGACACTGAACAACCTGCTGGCCATCATGGACGATGCCATCCACCCTCTGCATACTGTCATCATGGCCCAGAGGAGCCAGTTCAGCGACAGGCTGCTCCTCCCCAGGTCCAAAACCAACAGGACCAAACACTCCTTTGTCCCCCGAGCCATCAAACTGTTCAGCTCTGAGCTCGGGGGGAGGAGCAGCAAGCGGGGAGAGGTGGGGAGTGAGGGGTGAGGAGTGAGGGGTGAGGAGTGAGGACATCGGGGTGAGACAGAGCATCACGCTCTATCACCAGACTGTGTGGAATATTTAGCAGTGTTATTATTATTATTATTACTAATGTTGTGTTGGTGTTGCTAGTACAACAACTTCCCTGAGGTTTCCACCAAAGGGATCAATAAAGTTCTATTCTATTCTTTTCTATTCTATTCTGAACGATTCTACGTCTGACGGTCTATTCATGCGACTGCAGACCTCAGATCTGTGTCCCAGTCTGACCCCATCAGACGTGTTCAGGTGAAGGTTAAGGCCAGGTGAGACTCACGTTACCATCTGTTACTTCAGTTTTTATATTACACGTTATCCAGCAGCTGGTTCTGTTTGTGCTATTCACTTAGAACGTGTGTTTATGCACACGGTGCAACGGCCATACACGTCCCCAGCACAGGTATGTCTGATGCTGTTACCATGGAAACAGCCTCACCTGATGGTGATGGAGTCTCCGGGCCGGGCTCGGATGTTCCAGCTGCAGTTCAGTCGGGCCGGATACTGGAAGGGCCAACCGGGGCTGGTGATGACGCCACTGGACGCTCGCAGGAGCTCCGCCACATCGCCGCAGGCTGGGGGGGAGATGGGTGAGGAGGAGGGAGATGGGTGAGGAGGAGGGAGATGGGTGAGGAGGAGGGAGATGGGTGAGGAGGAGAGAGATGGGGGAGGAGGTGGAGATGGGTGAGGAGGAGGGAGATGGGTGAGGAGGAGAGAGACGGGTGAGGAGGAGGGAGATGGGTGAGGAGGTGGAGATGGGTGAGTAGGTGGAGATGGGTGAGGAGGAGGGAGATGGGTGAGGAGGAGGGAGATGGGTGAGGAGGAGAGAGATGGGTGAGGAGAGGGAGATGGGTGAAGAGGAGGGAGATGGGGGAGGAGGTGGAGATGGGTGAAGAGGAGGGAGATGGGTGAGGAGGAGGAAGATGGGTGAGGAGGAGAGAGATGGGTGAGGAGGAGAGAGACGGGTGAGGAGGAGGGAGATGGGTGAGGAGGAGGGAGATGGGTGAAGAGGAGGGAGATGGGGGAGGAGGAGAGAGACGGGTGAGGAGGAGGGAGATGGGTGAGGAGAGGGAGATGGGTGGGGGGGA